ATCATGGGCGTTCAGCAGAGCCTCGGCAACACTGCAACTCCAGCTGACTCTCCCACAGGCCTGTGCGATGATGCCGCCATTTTAGCTCATCCCCCCACTACACTTTTACACTTTTTTTATAGGGCTTTTCAACCCGTCATGCGCGTACCACCTACCAGGTGCTGAAGTACCACCGGTGGTGCGGGTTCCACGGGTTGAAAAGCACTGCCTTAAGAGACCGAGAACAGTATTAGGGCCATCTCATAATAAGTCATATCCTGGATACCAAAGGGTTAGATTTAGGGTAACTTACTCTCTAGCTAAAAGTAGGCCTGTGCAAATCAACCTTGATAGAAATGGAGATCCGAAATTCAGAAAGGGTATAATCTTACTCTACAGCAGTGGTTCTCAACCTGTGGGTCGGGACCCCATTTGGGGTCGATCGACCATTTCATGGGGGTCGCCAAGCAAGGCTGTCCGCCCTTTTTTTTGTCCATTTTTTTTGTCCACCATTTTTTTCCCCTTTTCCGGTGGGTGCCTTACCTCCCTTGGGCTGGGCCAGCTGGTGGTCGGCCTGCTCCGTCTCTGCCGCTTGCCAGCTACGCCTCGGCCGGCACAGGGGGCGGAACCACGCATGCCCGGCGCTCCCGGGCAGGGAAAGTCCTCGACTTATGACCGGTTGGGTAGTCCCCGACTTACGACCGGTTTAGTCCTCGACTTACGACCAGTTTACGACCGGTTTAGTCCTTGACGTACGACCAGTTGGGGTCGCGGCATTAAAAAGGTTGAGAACCACTGCTCTACAGTCTGAGAGCAAACCAATTCAGTCTGAGCTGGTTTGAGATTCAATTTGAAACTATCCATAAACTGTAAAAGAGAAACATCAAAGCACTGAAAGTTCCGTGACTGTGCTGGGAACAAATTGAATGAATGAATGAGTGAATGAATGAATGAATGAATGAATGCATAACTAAATAACTAAAGAAGAGTGTAGCAGTTTTTGTGATGATAACAATAATGGCAATTATTAACCCAGAACATATCAAGGAAAAGGCGGCCCTGGGGGATTTCATGAATTTGGTAGCAGCTTTACAAGTTTTATTAAAAGGCCTTATGTTTTCAGAACCACAGCAGTTCACTAACCTGCCTTTCTTCCTACAACTTTGCACCTAAGAACAGAGGTATATTCTAAAGGTGTTGATAGAAAGGTTTAACAAAGAATAAATTGGATAAAAGATAAGAATGACTGGGAAGGGGTAGAGGTGTGTGTGTGTGTTTGTGTGTAAATAAAACAGCAGGTATAGTTGAAAAGATAGACATCAAACCCACTTCACCATTAAAGATTATAATGCAATTGAAAGTAGTCAAAGGTATCAAAGTTGGCTTCCAATTCCGACCAGGATATGAGCTTTCACCCCAATAACATCAAGTGTCATTCACAAAGCTTCTGGATTCCCAACTTCAACAGGTAAAGGGAAACAATTACTGGAAAACTGCCATAAGACAAATCACAGGGTACAAAAAGAGTCCCAAAGATGCTTTTTCATGAGGCAACTGGACTTTCTTGTTTTTCTTTGAAGACGTTTGGCTTCAAAGCTGTCTGCAAGGAGTATAAATCTTTCCATTCCCCACCATCCAGTCAGAGCTGAAGAAGCTTCTTGGATGAGAAGCGAAACGTCTTCAAAGAAAAACAAGAAAGTCCAGTTGCCTCGTGAAAAAGCACCTTTGGGATAACTATGACCTGGATGACTGGGAATCTCCATAGACAGGTACAAAAAGAGGAGAACCAGGAAATATTAGCAATGAATAAAAGAGGAAAAATAGGCATCTGGCCAAGGATCTAACACAGGGGGTTGGACTTGATGACCTCCAAGGTCCCTTCCAGCTTTTATTATTACTATTACTATTATTATTATTATTATTATTATTATTATTATTATTATTATTATTATTATTATTATTATTATTATTATTATTATTAACAAAGCCAGGTGACAGAGCTAGCCAAAGTTTCACCTCTGTTTTAGTTACTGTTTAGGTTAACATATTAAGAGGTAATTTATATAATACATTTTTACAATAAGAAGTACTGTAAAACCAGGACCGATAGAGACTGAGAGCAAAAAAAAGGATTATGACTGAAAAGCCAAATACCAAAATTAATTAAAAAGAGCAATTATAGAAGCATGATTAGTCCTGAATTGCTAAAAGCCCATTTGGGAAAGTAATATGTGTAACATTTGTCAAGTCTGGGGCCCAAAGAAGTATCCACCAAACGGTTTTTTTTAAATATAATAAAGTATGATTGTATGTGATTATTGAGTTCAACCCTCTGCTCCGGACAAGAGTCCTGATGAAAGCAATTTTAGAAGATCACTGTTCAGCCTTATAAGGGTTTTGGCAGGTGCCTGAAGAGAAAAAAAAATTTTCTTTCAAGGACAAATTCTCTTTAGCAAGATTTGTGAAGATTTATTGTAAGGAAGTAGCAGGCTGCTTAGGTAACAATTAATCTTAGCCAGCCAGAGGCATAATTAGCATCTCAGGACTCCAAGCAAGCCACTCAGATGGAATAATAATAATAATAATAATAATAATAATAATAATAATAATAATAATAATAATAATAATAATAATAATAATAATAATAATAATAATAATAAAGTTGGAAGGGACCTTGGAGGTCATCTAGTCCAACCCCCTGCTCAGGCAGGAAACCCTATACCATTTCAGACAAATGGCTGTCCAGTCTCTTCTTAAAAGCCTCCAGTGTTGGAGCATTCACCGCTTCTGGAGGCAGGTTGTTCCACTGGTTAATTGTTCTAACTGTCAGGAAGTTTCTCCTTAGTTCTAGGTTGCTTCTCTCCTTGATTAGTTTCCACCCATTGCTTCTTGTCCTGCCTTCAGGCACTTTGGAAAATAGCTTGACTCCCTCTCCTTTGTGGCAGCCCTGGATTCTTCTTCATTCTTGGGGGGGGGGGGGGGGAGAAGAGATTGGCATTTGATTTGCTTCCTTCTCCATATTCCCAAAGTAATATTATTTTGGAATCATACCAGTCTTTTGGTTTTGATTGGATTTCTCAGTTGCCAATTGTTAAAAACAGATTTTTAGGAATCTTACATCTGTGAACCAGTCCTGATATGTTTTGAGATCAGCTTTCTAAGTTTCCATCCAGTTCAGCAAATCTACTTATATCCATGAATTTCATCCATCGATCACGGATAGCAGTTTTACTCTGGTTTTGGCTGTGAAAGATACTGGGCATACTCCAGGTTTTTCTTACAGACTCGGCACACATCCTTCTTCAACAGAATATGCTTTATTATGTGTTACAGTATGAGGTAAAGACCAAGTATATCACAACTGGGGAGAAAATGACACCACTAGTTGCAGACAGAACAAATTTGAAAAATGAAAAAAAAAAGGAGAGAAAAAGTCCAGAATTTTCCCAATATCACCACAAAGCATTTTTCATTCCTTTCCTTTTTCTTTTTTTAATTGCAAAAATTGGGAGGGGGGGAGAAATGATAAAATACTTTCTAATCATACATAAAATGGTAGGTATCTTACATTGCCCTATATCTAGAAATATACTGGAATAAATTAGCAGCATATCTTCACACAGGCAAATGTTCCATTTTAGAAGTCCATGAAAAATTATACAAATAACAGATTAAATTTAGGAAATGAGACTGAATCATTTTTTCCTGAGCAAATTTTATATTGTCATACTAAGCCTTTTCTCCCCCCCCCAAAAAAAATCTTTTCCTGTTTGATGCATTGGATGACAAAGAGACCATCGAGATCCTGAGGACTCCTCAAAATTAAAATTATTTGCCAGCTTGTGTTGAAAAATAATACAATATTAAAATCCCATCAAACAATCTTGAGAAGTTTTAGCAGTAGCAATGCATCAATTTTAATTTTTAATAAGTAAATATAAATAAATATAACCCATATAAACATAAGCTCTTTTGGGGTCCTCCAAATTTTTTAAAAAGAGTCCTGAGAGAAAGAAGTTCAAGAAATACTGGAAAAATGAATTTCAGTTACACAAAGGCAGATTCTGATTTTAATATTAGGAGGAATTGCCTAACAGCAAAAGCAGTTTTACTGTGGGATCATTTAGCATTTTGATGAGCTCCTCTTCACAAGACGAAGTAAAGCAAAGGCTAAAGAACTATCCCTCTAAGATAACTGAATTAATTTGGATTTCTGCTTGGAACAGGGGATTGGACTGGATAGCTTCCAAGTCCAGAATTCTGGGTCATCCAGAGAATCAGCATCTCCTCATCCTCCTTTTTCTCCTTTATAAAAGCCATGCAGGATCTTCAGATAGACAGAGAAACAGGACTGATCAATTCAATTATACTCTTTGCATAGCACCAAGCACAAAATCCACCCCATCAATCATTTTGCTTTGGCATTGGCCTGTATGTTGCCTTCTGAATAATCACCACAACTGCAATAATAAAACCCTGACTAGGAAATTACCTGAATTAGCAAAATGCTACCAGTTCATAGAGAAAAATGGCTATTTTAGACCTAGAGATTCTTAAGTGCCCAGCTGAGTCTAGTTGCAAGAAGCAAACGTAAAGTTTGATTTATGGATCCCAAATGCTCTCTTGGTACAGCTCTATTTAAAAACTGAGCGCCTGTAATGTTTGGGGACGTGCCAGGTGTCACTCAGCACTGTCTCAGCCCAAAGTGTCCAATGAACATCCTGCCTCTAATTTCCCTGAGAATTTAGCCACAAGAACCAATATTTTAACAGCCAGATTCTCTCTCCATGCAGGTTCTCATGACTGTTGTCTGCAGAGAAAGAGTTCCACCCCTGGGTGTAGCTGGATCCACTGAAGAATAGAAGTTAACAGCTGCTCTCAACAATGGCTTCCACTCTCTATTTGTCACCCAGTGGCTGAATATAAAAGAGGCCCCGGAGCAAAGTGCCAAGCAGATGAATACTTCTGACGGCTTGATACCTTGGGGTCTTCTACAAGAAACCATTGCTTGATTCAGCATCATGAGCTCTTCTCACCTAAGCAACAGAGCTGAGAGCCATTTCCAGGCACAAGAAGAACATGAACTGGAAACTCTGGGGAAGAAAGCATGGGACAACCCTGTTTACAACGGATCCCCTTCCTCCTCCTCCTCGTTGAAAATCAGAGCAATCTACAACCCCAAGTCCATTTTGGAAAATCCCTACGAGAATATTGAAAAAGTGACCGGCTCTTTATCCTACCCAAAAGACAGAAAGGCTACCGAGGAAGAAAGGAAGAAGGAAGCCCCCTTCCCGGGATGCTGCTACTATGTCTTCAAAGGCATCCGAGGTAACCGGGGTAGTGGGTGGGTGGGATTAAGTACAGAGAAGATAAAATAATAGCTCCACCAAGAGGCAGGGGAAAGGATACAACTTCTCTGCAGGGACCACTGACAACTACTATTGTGCAGTAAACTTGGCTTTGCTATCCGTCTAGGTGTTACTTACAAATTTTAAAATCATCACCATGACAGGAAGTAACATTTGAACTATTGGTTACAGAAGTTACTATCCTCTTCTTTATAGCTGGAAAGGTCACCTCAAAGGTGAGACCGTTACCTTGAAATTAGTAGGGGGGTATCAGTGGCAACATTGCTTGACTGAGCTCCAAAAGGTGGATAGCTACATGCCAAGGTGCAAATTAGCTTAGGGCCAAACGTGAGTCTCGTGCACAGAATAATGGGAGCAGATTTTTTATCAAGCATGCTTGATTGTTTAGCTTAATTGATGTAGCCATGTTTGCAAAATGTTATCGTAGCTCAAGGAAGCGAAGGTTCAGATGTGGCTTTCGAAACATGAGAAGGGAGTGCGATTGATTGGATTTATTTTTATGAAATCCGTGGAGAATTTCAATTCTTTTTGCAGAGCTGACCTACCTGGAGCCAAGATCATTATTTCTGTGATTTGCTTCTGTTTAGTGAAATGATTTCTCTCCGGACTGCTTTCTTTTCAAAGAACTATGCTTCTTGCCTTGTTTGTATATTCTATAGTATGCTGCTGACATCCTTGAACTGGTCGAAATAAAGACACTGACATCTCTAAAGCTATTGAGGATGCCACTATTTTCACTCATTGTTGCATTCATTGCCAACAAAGAGCGATTAAGGTGCTTTGTGGTTATCTCAAAATATCCTCCCAGCGTGTAAAGGGAGGTAGACCGACCTACTCAGTCGACTCCTTCCATTGATCCGACCTCGACAAGGGAAAGGTAAAGAGTTTCGGGTAAGGTGAAGGAGCCTTAAGAAGAACTTGGCGGATATCAGTTCCATCTTAAACTGATAAACCTTTAATATGATCTAACTACAATGGTTTTTACCTAAAAACGTCGGATTCATATATTACATACTTGTATTTAGTTAAAAAATGCATATCCTGAAGAAGCTTAATAATAATAATAATAATAATAATAATAATAATAATAATAATAATAATAATAATAATAATAATAATAATAATAATAATAATAATAATAATAATAAAGTTGGAAGGGACCTTGGAGGTCATCGAGTCCAACCCCCTGCCCAGGCAGGAACCCTACACCATTTCAGACAAACGGCTGTCCGGTCTCTTCTTAAAAACTTCCAGTGTTGGAGCATTCACCACTTCTGGAGGCAGGTCGTTCCATTGGTTAATTGTTCTAAACTGTCAGGAAGTTTCTCCTTAGTTCTAGGTTGCTTCTCTCCTTGATCAGTTTCCACCCGTTGCTTCTTGTCCTGCCTTCAGGCGCCTTGGAGAATAGCTTGACTCCCTCTTCTTTGTGGCAGCCCCTGAGATATTGGAACACTGCTATCATGTCCCCCCTCGTCCTTCTCTTCGTTAAACTAGACATACCCAGTTCCAGCAACCGTTCCTGATTGTTTATACTTTAAAAATGCCTTACTGTTTTGTTTTTTTTACTGTAACATCAATAGCATTTTCACAAATATTGTGGTGAATCATTGCCCACTGTTTTCCAGTTTTACATTTAAGTATTTGGAAAGCAACGTGGTGATTGGGTTAATCTATAGTTCAATAACAAAATCTTTAGTACATGTCTCAGGTTACATCATCAAATATTTCTTCTCTGTTTCCCTTAACATTTGCTATATCATATTTAAGGTAGTAAATTTCTAGTTGTATCAAACTCAGTGAAAACTTCATTATCACATTTTTCAATACATTTTTCCTTATACTGTACATATCTTAATAAATCTTCATAAACAATCCATATCCTGTTATTTAGTTTTACCTAATTTTTAGTTTTTAATTACAATACTCCAATTTAACGAAATTATAGGTATCATAAACTTAAAGCCCATTGGTTAAGACTCAAGTTAAAGTAACGTGATAAAAGTAGGGAAATACTGTTGAGAGTTCTAATAAACTTACAACAAAGATCAAACCTCCTATAATTGATAGGAATAATGTGGGTGGCTAAAATACATGAGACGTTTAAACTAGTCGCAAGGAAGGGGGAGACAAAGAGCAAAGTCCTTAATGAAAATGTTAGCCCAAACCAAACTCTGCAGCAGCCACTGAAGATATCTTCCAAGGTTACAATATTCTGTGAAGAATAAAGACGTTTAACTGCGAGTTACCCCGTGTCACAGAACCAAGTGCAATTAAATATTGCCAAATGCGGTAATAAATGCAGTGACTGACTGGCAATATTGTGAGTGCAAAAAACATTTTGTCATACAAGAATTGCTATGGAGATCATTTGGGAACCTAGGATTTTTTTAATTCCCATGAAAAGAATTCAGAACCGGAAGGTCTGAATCCACTTCTTCAAAGATGACTTAGGAAACTGGCTTTCTGCAATTGATGGAAAGAAGGTGAAAAGGCCTGTAGTTTATAGATATAAACAGTGCTTTTTTTGAAGAAAAAAAAGGTGCTGGAACTCACACATGTTATACAACCCGCTTTGCCTACCCTACAAGGTTCCATCCAAAAAAGGTGCCGGAACTCCGTTCTGGGCGTTCTATGAGAAAAAAAGCCCTGGATATAAAGAATAGTTTTATATTCTTTCTGAACAGAGAGTGTAACCACCTAAATTCCAAATCACCCAATGATTTTACAATTGAGCAGAATTAGAAAAATTTCTCAAGCCCACCACTGCTGTAATTAATTAGCTTGCTGGTAATTGATTCTACTCAACACTGTTCTGCTTGTTATGGAACTTTATATCTTCTTGTATCTTGAGCCCTTTTCTCCATGTTCTGCACTCTAGAATAAGGGAGAACAGGTTTGGACCTTTTTCTGTGTGATATCTTTTCAGGTATTTTGAAGACCCTATCTCCTGTCCTCTCCCACAAAATTTTGAGGCAACCCTGATTCTAATCTAGCTTCCTCAGGAATTGTCTGTGGAGATTCTCAGTCATCCAGGTCATGATTGTCCCAAAAGTGCTTTTTCACGAGGCAACTGGACTTCCTTGTTTTTCTCCGAAGACGTTTCACTTCTCATCCAAGAAGCTTTTTCAGCTCTGACCGGATGGTGGGGAATCGAAGGATTCATATTCCTTGCAGACAGCTAGTCATTTGCATTCTTTTAGAGAGTCCTTGAGGCCATTTGGAGGTTTTCTGTGTCCTCAGGGTCACCCGAGTGGTGCAAATGTGTGAGGAGCCTTCTGGCTGCAGGATATTTTCTACCCTGTTCTAGTAGTCTGCAATGTTTTCTGGAAATCTGTTCATACTCCTGGATCATTTGAAGGATGTTCATCCCAAAGTGCATAACTAAATGTCTATGGAGATTTTCAGTCATCCAAGTCATGGTTGTCCCAAAGGTGCTTTTTCAGGAGGCAACTGGACTTTCTTGTTTTTCTTTGAAAACAAAACCTCCAAATGGCCCCAATGACTTTCTAAAAAATGCAAGTAACCAGCTGTCTGCAAGGAATATAAATGCTTCCATTCCCCACCATCCAGTCAGAGCTGAAGAAGTTTCTTGGATGAGAAACAAAACATCTTCAAAGAAAAACAAGAAAGTCCTGAAAAAGCATCTTTGGGTTCCTTAGGAATTGCATCTCTTTCACTTAAAAGACAGGGAATCTTTCAAATAAACCACATCTTTTTCACCATAAGAGTCATTTGACAGTGAGAGGGACAGCATATAAGTTTAATAAACAAATAAAATTGGTAAAACCAGGAACTACCAGAGGACTGGAAAAGAGCTGATGTAGTTCCCATCTTCAAAAAAGGAAAAAAAATGGATCCAGGAAATTACAGACCTATCAGCCTGACCTCAATACCTGGAAAAAATAATCAAACAACGAATCAGCGAACACCTAGAGGCAAACAAAATCACTACTAAAAGCCAACATGGGTTTGTCAAAAACAGATCATACCAGACCATTGCATTCTTTGACTAAGTGACAAAATTAGTGGACCAGAGGAATACTGTGGATATAATTTACTTGGACTTCAGTAAGGCATTTGACAAAGTAGATCACAACCTACTACTTGATAAGATAGAAAAATGCAGGTTAGACAGCATCACCACCAGATGGATCCGTAGCTGGCTGACCGGCCGTACGTAGCGTGTGGTCCTCAATGGAACCACATCTACATGGAGGGAAGTGTGTAGTGGGGTGCCCCAGGGCTCTGTTCTGGGCCCAGTGCTCTTCAACATCTTCATCAATGATTTGGATGAGGGGATAGATGGGGAACTCATCAAATTTGCAGACGACACCAAGCTGGCAGGAATAGCCAACACTCCAGAAGACAGGCTTAGGATACAGGAGGATCTGGACAGACTTGAACACTGGGCGGTATCTAACAAAATGAAATTAAATGGTGAAAAAAGTAAGGTTCTACATTTAGGCAAGAAAAACTAAAAGTACAGGTATAGTATAAGGGGTACCTTGCTCAATAGTAGTAACTGTGAGAGGGATCTCGGCGTCCTAGTGGACAATCATTTAAATATGAGCCAGCAGTGTGCTGCAGCTGCCAAAAAAGCCAACACAGTGCTAGGCTGCATTAACAGAGGGATAGGATCAAGATCACGTGAAGTATTAATACCACTTTACAATGCCTTGGTAAGGCCACACTTGAAATACTGCATCCAGTTTTGGTCACCATGATGTAAAAAAGATGTTGAGACTCTAGATTAGAAAGAGTACAGAGAAGAGCAACAAAGATGATCAGGGGACTGGAGGCTAAAACATATAAGGAACGGTTGCTGGAATTGGGTATGTCTAGTTTAATGAAGAGAAGGACGAGGGGTGGCATGATAGCAGTGTTCCAATATCTCAGGGGCTGCCACAAAGAAGAGGGAGTCAAGCTATTTTCCAAAGCGCCTGAAGGCAGGACAAGAAGCAATGGATGGAATTTATTTTATTTATATCCTACCATTTTTTAATAAGCAACACAAGGCGGCAAACATATCTTATACTCCTTCTTCCTATTTTCCCCACAACAACAATCCTGTGCGTGAGCTGGGCTAAGAGAGAGGGACTGGCCCAAGGTCACCCAACTGGCTTTCATGACTAGGGCAGGACTAGAAATCATGGGGTCTTGGTTTCTAGCCTGGTTCCTTAACCACTAGAGCAAACTGGTTCTTTTATGCTGGGTGGATTTATTCTGGATGGCTCTGGACCTACTGGACATCTATGCAGTCTGGAATTTGTTTGTTGGTTAGAAAGAAACTCAAGGCTACGTTCATAGTGCTCAATTTGTGAGTTTTGCTCACATACAGATAACAACGCCTCATGAGTTGTAGAACTGCCTGGTTCATGTCAAAATCGGTTGTGAGTCCTAGCCTCTGTAACCATGGTTACTATCTCTGCTTTTGGGTAGAATGAATGTCTCTCTCTGGAGGTGGTCATGCTGGCAGGCAGAAATGTCTTGTCAACATGAGTCTACAACCATTAGGCCTGCACAAGGGAATCTAGACAAGAAGCACAACCAGGAGTACTAGCTCTGTCTTTGTTGTAAGGTTATTTAATAAAATCTTGTATGTCTGAAAATATTTCTCCTTTCCTTTTACTACGGTATGTAGAAAACTAGGGAGGGTCCCTTCTGAAATGCTTCTCATACTCTCCCCTTTTCAGTGGGCTGAGATAGCTTTACACCCAAGTTGTGGTTCTCCCTCCTGTCTCCCAAAGACATTCACATATATCATTGTAACAGCAGTAGGACAGCACCTTGGGTTGAACATATTTTCTCATGTCTAAATGTTTTTTTAAAGGTTTATTAGTTTTTATAGGGTTAGGGATAAGATGGGGTCAGGAATCAGGGACGATGCATGTAGCAATAATAATGATGATGATGATGATGATGATGATGATGATGATGATGATGATGATGATGATGATGATGATGATGTTGGAGGGGATCTTGGAGGTCATCAAGTCCAACCCCCTGCTCAGGCAGGTAACCCTATACCGTTTCGGACAAATGGCTGTCCAGTCTCTTCTTAAAAACTTCCAGTGTTGGAGCATTCACCGCTTCTGGAGGCAGGTTGTTCCACTGGTTAATTGTTCTAACTGTCAGGAAGTTTCCCCTTAGTTCTAGGTTGCTTCTCTCTTTGGTTAGTTTCCATTCGTTGCTTCTTGTCCTGCCTTCAGGCACTTTGGAAAATAGCTTGACTCCCTCTTCTTTGTGGCAGCCCCTGAGATATTGGAACACTGCTATCATCTCCCCCCTCGTCCTTCTCTTCATTAAACTAGACATACCCAATTCCAGCAAGGGTCATCTGTGGAAGGGGCAGCCACCATCTTGACTTTTTAAATTTCCCCATTGAATCCCTGACTGAAATTCTCCCCCCCCCTCTCTCTCTCACATACACATACATATTAGATTAAATCTGAATTTTGAGACTGCAGACCCTAAATAATTTCTCAACCTTGATAACTTTAAGAAGTCAAGGAACTTCAACTCTCTTCCATTCCTTACATTCTCTCTTCATACAGATTTAAAAAAAAGTGTGGAAAGAGAGAAGCATAAAACCAAAGTGGGAAAACTCAGGAAGTATTTTCAAACAAGTTGCCTAATCAGATTGCTACTTTTTATAATCAACTATACTTTTTCCATTTAAAAGTTGAGTTTGGAATCAGTGCTACCACTTTAAAACAAAAAAAGAGAGAGTAACTTTTTGAACCAGGAGCAGGAACCCCAAAGAGCTTTTAGCTCTTTCCTGGCACAAATTGCCTATGTTCTTCCATCACAAGAGCTTTCGATCGAGGGTGTGGAGGGAGCATCTATCACAAAGCTGTGGTTCTGAGTGTCCTTAAGTCTGAAAAGAACAGAAACCCCTTTGGATATTGATGTGAGAACATTTACTCCACTTTCAAGTAAGAATTCACACCAACCTCGGTGGAAGCCTTAGAGGAGAAGAGCAATAACATCAAATCATTAGAGAGGCAAGCTATTAAGCCTTAATGGTGTTCATTAGCAGTGAGCAATGAAAGAAAAGTGAAGTGAACAATGTTTCAAAGGAACCAGCTTTTCTTGAACTCAAAAGAGAATTCATGCTTCGTCACTAAAATGAAAGAGAGAAATTGATTTGGACCTAAGCTGAAGGTAAAGGATCAAACAAATAAAACAGGGCACGGTTCCCTTAAATATTTATATGTTTCCACTCCTCTCCTAAATGTCCTTCTGAGACTCTGTTATATTTACATACCTTCTCATTTGCCCACTCGCCCCTTTTTGCTCCTGCATCCATAATTGCAGAAAACAGCCAGAGCCGATTCCTAATTTAACCATTGTAGCAGCAATTCCTGAGAAACGGTGAGGGGGGAGGGCATTGTATGTGAATAAACATATTTAAATTATTGAAACCCTGTGTTTACAATCAGGTGTTGAGATCGGATGACATGCATTTCCCAGTTTTACACCCTTTTTCCAGCCAATCTCCCAAGTTTTTCCTTAAAATTAGTAATATTCACTGTAAAGGAATAAATAAGGAAATAATAGTTGGGGTGTAGAAATAAACACAACTGGAAGGAATAAGGATATATCTTGAGCAAATGATGGAGATAGTTGACAATGGTTTTAAAATATCTCACCAAATGGACTGAACGTTATTTACTTTTGAAAGTGCAAAATCCACAGCATTCAGAGGAAGATTGTTGCAGTAAGCTCCAGAGACATCGACAGTTCCTCAAAGTCTTGATGGCAATTCCAGGAATTGTCACACAATTCCTAATGTTTGAAGTGACCAAGAGGAAAATTATTAAACACATAATCATTTCACTATCTCTCAACTGTTGATTTTTCCTATTCTCAAGGTAATCCATCTCATGTTTTGCATCAAATTTGAAAATTAAATAATTAAATATTTGTAATTATAATTTGCATTTTTTTTATTTACATTTTCCCCTATATATATATATATGCCTTTGGGAGGAGAAAATAATTCAAATACTATTTCTAACATTACTTTTACTAAGTATCTATTTTTGTATACATCTTTTTTAAAAATATATACATTATGAGCACAATTTTGCTTTGAAGAATTACAGTGCAAAATCCAGAGAAGTACACTTTTTCAAATACTAGACAGTTGAATTTCTTTTTGATGGACTTGAGGTTGGAATAAATCCATATAGTGTTCATTTTTCCTTATTTTTTTTTCAGGGCTTTGGGGCACAACCTTGACTGAAAATACCAGTGAGAACCGAGAGCTCTATGTGAAGACTACACTGCGTGAACTTCTGGTCTATATTGTATTCTTAGTGGACATCTGTCTGTGTGAGTTATGTGTAGTTGCTGTTCTTGAGTGTTGATCAGTGGTGGGACTCAGCCAGTTTGCACCGTTCAGTAGAACTGGTAGCTAAATTTTGTTGAGTTCGGAGAAACAGCTGAATGCACACTGGTTCTGGAAGTCCATTCTAGGCCTGGGAGGCCTGAAGGAGGCCTCCCAGGCTTTGAACGGCCTGCTGGAAGTGCATGGATGCCACTTCCGGAAGTCCGTTCTAGGCCTCGGAGGCCCAGGCCTGCATCCATGCAGAGAACCAATTGTTCAGGTATTTGAATTCCACCATTGGTGTTGATACCAGTTTTTCAATGTATTAAATTAATTATTAAATATTAATTAAATTAAATTATTATTAATTATTAAATTATTAAATTAATTAAATTTCCTACTTTCTATTGTTCTCCTGGTTATCCTTTTTAAAACCCTTCTCTTTCACCTCTTTCTGAGCTCACATGGGATCATTCTTTTCAAAAAATAAACAAATTGTTTGATATTTTACTGCTTACTGGCATCACAGCTAATGGAAACTGCAAATTTATAATTTTTCTCAGCACTTTACATCCCCAAAAGAAGTCAATGGTAAACCACTTCCTTAATGGTCCAAGAAAACTACATGGAAATAAGTTAAAACTAACCAAACTTAGCAGGTTGTCAAATGAATCTACCAGATTTGTAAATGACCTGATAATGCATGTTGTGTGAACACAACCTGTGATCTCCCTGATTGTGTAGGACATTGGAGGCAATAACACATTAAAGATGACAACCAGAGGGATGGTAAAGGAAAATTCACGATCATCTTTTTCTTGTCCTTAGAGTTCGCACAAAAGCTTTTAATAGGAAATTATGTGGAACTTTATTACTATTAAACTTTAGGTACACAGCAAAATAATATTTTTATGGAATACAATAGAACAGTAAATGTACAATAAACAATAATACAGAATAATACAACACTCAATCATTTTGAAATATAAACTACTCCACTTGTATCACTGCTTGGTCCTAATATCTAACCTGGATTGACTTTCCTGAAATTTCAACCTTTTGCTTCTTTTGCATCTTTCTTCCAGGATGACAGAGAAAACACCCACACCCTTCTTGATACGACAAACCTTTATATATCTGAATACTGTTATCATATCTATTCTCAATTCTTTCTTCTGTAGGCTAAATATACTGAGTTCCTTTAACCATTTCTCATACGACACACTTTCCAGTCCCCTCACTATTATGCTCGCCCTCTTTTGAATTTGCTCCAGTTTGTCTTAGAGGTTGCACTATTCCAAGAGAGATCTTATCAAAGCAGAAGAGAATGGGAAAATGCTTCTAATCTAGACTCTATGCCAGGGATGTCAAACTGCCAGCCCGCGGGCCAGATGCATCATGCCGAAACCGGGCCCACCCCATTGCCAGCAATGGAAAAAAAGTCATGATACATCGTGACACGTCACATGATGTTGTGAGTTTGACACCCCTGCTCTATGCTGTTATTAATACATCCTAATACTGTATAATATTTGCCTTTTTAGCAGCTGCAACATACTATTGGCTCACATTTGATGGATTGCCAAGATCACCCAGATCTTGTTCACATGTCCTTCTGCTATTCCAGATCTCCACATTTTATTCTTGTGCCTTCAGCTTTTTTCTGCCCAGTTGCAGGGATCTATATTTCGTTTTCCAGCATTTGGTCTGCTGTTCACACTCATTTAGTTTTTCTGAAAGCTCTTTCTCTTCCAAACTGTTAGCCACTTCCCCTAATCTTGTGTTCATCTGAAAGTCTGATATCTTGTAAAATCCTTCATCCAGGTTATTAATAAAAATACAGAGTTCTGGGGCATTCCATTTAAGCAGTTCAATTGGATGTGGGACCATTTATGAGTATTTGCTGAATACTCGTTAGTTATAAAGCCATCTAACAGTTGTATCAACTAGCCCCTATGTCAACGCTGCTAACATTGGATGTTCTTGCTTTGACAAAATATGCAGAGCTGTGTGGTATTTTTAGAGTTAACTTAGATGATGCTGGGAGGGGAGGAGAAAGAATGTATGTGGGGATTAGTCAAGATAAGAAAACCTCAGGCTACAGAAAGGGAAGGGAATCTTTGCCTTTCAAACTGATTGGAGAACATGATTTATGACAGCAAATTAAGGGAGGGAAATATGCTGGCAAAATATGTGCTCAGGGGAGGGGAATTCAGATCTTGGCATCCTCCATATAGATGTCACACCTGTGACAGGTAAAAACATGTTTTTTTTGAAAAACAGCGCCATCTGTTGGCTGAGTGAATGACAGCCACAGCAACGCGTGGCCGGGTACAGCTAGTTTTAAATAAACAAGTGTTTGCCTTTGTTTTTGTTATGCTGGTTCAGGAATTCTGGAAGTCCACGGTCGCAAAGCGGCCATAGTTGCCCACTCTTGCACTAGTGAAACAATGAGAGACACAAGGGGTTTAGTTTCCCTTTTGAAAGAAGACAGATATAAAATACGAGTTGATTCTCTGCCTTCTCACCACCATCCATTATCAATTCACATTAGAACTAGAGTCTCTTTGCCTTGGATTTAGTTTCTGGCATACCAAAAGTCCCTCCTCCTCCTCCTCCTCCTTTATTATTTTATTTTATTATTTTATTTTATTTTATTATTTTATTTTATTTTATTTTATTTTATTTTTTTATTTTATTTTTTTATTTTATTATTTTATTTTATTTTATTATTTTATTTTATTTTATTTTATTTTATTTTATTTTATTTTATTATTTTATTTTATTTTATTTTATTTTATTTTATTTTATTTTATTTTATTTTATTTTATTTTATTTTATTTTATTTTATTTTATTGCTGTTTGGGGCATTTGTCATAAGCCTTAATGCATTCCGTGCCTTTCTGACACAATTCCCATGATTTCTGGCAACTGGCTTCTTTAGTTTATACACCTCTCCTTCTATTCCTCTCCTTTCAACATTTAAAAAGCTAACTCTTCTGTGCATTCACTTAGTTTCTCTTTAATCATTCTTTCAATTCTTCTCCAGAACGGATGTTAGGTTAAAAAGAGAGCAATTTCCTTGGTCACTTCTTGGTCCCTTTTTTAAAAAATTTGGGGCCCTTATAGTTATTTTGAAGTTTTTGTAGTTAATATGCTGGTCATACACCTACCTCTCAGTGTCTATTTCCTCACTACTGAAAGTCTGTTTTTAAGCATATTTCTGCTGCCAGGACGTCTTTGATTGGCCTCCACGGATGTGTCCCTTTGAAAAGACCTTTCCCCTCTTCCTTCGCATTATGTCTTTCTACCCTGAGATCTTTACTTTGTAGGCCTTTTGAGGCAAGGAAGTCAGAGAGGGGTACAATTATCTCATCCCCAAAGTCGTGCCCTCTACTTCAGCTAACATGGCCTTAAGGAGTCAAACTTACTCCCTAAGCAAGCAAGTCTCACCGCATCCTCAGGACTTCTTTCCAGCAGTGCTACATGATAGTTGGTTAAGGCTATGTTTTTCAATCTTGGCAAGTTTGTGTGGACTTCAGTTCTCAGAATTGCATGCTGATTGGAGAATTCTGGAATAGAAGTCCAAACATGGCTGGCTTGGTCGCTCAACAGCGAGACACTGGTGAAGCGGGCACAGTAGCGTCTGCATTTTCTGCGTCGCATGAGAAAAGCACATCTTCCTTCTCCTGTCCTGACCACTTTCTACAGGGGGACGATCGAGAGCATCCTGTCGTACAGCATCACAGTCTGGTTTGGAAGCATCACTGCTTCAGACAGGAAGGCAGTGCAGAGAGTGGTGAGAATGGCCGAAAAGATCATTGGCTGTTCCCTCCCTCCCATCCAGGACATAGCACAGAAGCGCTGCTTGAGCAGGGTCCGTAAGATTATCGGTGACTCTACACATCCTCTTCACGACCTGTTTTCCTTGTTACCTTCTGGGAGGAGGCTTCGTGGTATCCGTAGCAGAACATCCAGATTCAGCCAGAGTTTCGTTCCATACAGCATTAACCTTGTGAACTCTCAAGCTTCCTCCTTCCGTTATATATTCAAGATGGACAGTATTTAATATTTATTTGTTATGTATATGTAGGGGTGTGGGTCTATACATACGTTGTACATAGTATGTTTAGGTGTGTGTCATGTATGTGTTTCACTTCGAGAGCGGGCAACTAAATTTCATTTTTGATGTGTGCCGTTGTGCCCACAGTAAAAAAAATGAAAATAAAGGTTATCTTATCTTATCTTATCTTATCTTATCTTATCTTATCTTATCTTATCTTATCTTATCTTATCTTATCTAACATTAATCTAAGGTAGTGGATATCTCCCATATCTTTTCCTCCTATCTCACTTCATTTGCAGGTAGTCCTCAATTTACAACCACAATTGGGATCAGAATTTCCACTGCTAAGCAAGGCAGTCGTTAAGTGAATCATGCCCACCCTTTTTTGCCATGGTTCATTCATAAGCAAATCACTACAGTTATTAAGAGAACGGTTGTTAAATAAATCCTGCTTTTCCCATGGACTTTGCGTGTCAGAAGCCAGTTGGAAAGGTTGCAAATGGCGATTCCACCACCCTGTGATGCAGCACCCATTGTAAATGCATGCTGATTGCCAAGTGCTTGAATTCGGATTACATGACCATGGGGATGCCGCAACAACTGTAAATGTGGGGAACTGTTGTAAGTCATTTTTTTTCAATGCCAGCTTGAATTGTTGCTAAACGAATGGCTGTAGGTTGAGGGCTACCTGTATGTAGTTAATTGTTACATTTGAATGCACTAAATATTTAAAACAATCAAAAATCTGCCCCTTCTGGGATAGGGAATTGGGCTGGATTTTAGATGATTTTGGAGCAACGCAGTGTTTACATGGGTGGAACAAAAGCAAGTCTCTTTTAACCCCCCTGGTCCTTCTCCCTTTCCAAATTCCTTGGCCTCTTAAGGTTGTCATGCTTCTTTTTGTTGCTTTTCAACCTAGTGTGATTTCCAGCAGTCATC